AAACTTAGACTTTTTCCATACTTCTGATAACCAAACGTTAGCATAGTCGAATAAGCCTATAACGTTGCATTCCTAGGTGACGACAAAACCATTTTGCCCAGATGCGTATGTGCAAAACATTTGGCAGATTTTGCCGTCACCTCATTGTTACTTTAATAAGTGAACATTCTTTTATGATTCTGGGAGTCAATATTTAATGAATATTTCATCTTCGGTTATACTATTGTTTATTGGGTAATTTATTGTTGCTTTCGACCCAAATATTTGTTTCAGAGCGAACTTTGTTTGTATATTTTTCTGTATACAGATGCAAAAACAACACAGGGCATCAGAAGCAGTTTCGGTCCTCGTGTATCCGACATTCCAAGTTGACTCTGCCGATGTCGAACACCTTTGTAACCTTGGCTGCCTTATCCGTGACGTACTGGCTTGGAATGGTGATCGTCCACCGTCGGCTGCATGGCTAAAGAAATGACTGCGACGATGCATACGTCGACGAACCTCTGATTAGATGGTTTCTTACCATAAATCCGTCGTCGCAATTGTGATAGATCTTCAGCACTGGATCGATGTTTGTAATTTCGCTTTCGGATCCACTTAGATAGAATGCTCCTTCGTTATCCGTCAAGCCTTCGTCCATGAGGTCGTCGAAAATAATGTCTAAATATGACAAACGAGGCATGAGTTCCGCTGTGTTTCTCGAGTGACGAAGGGAAATGGTCTAAATTTTAGGTATTTCCTTCTTAAGGGCCTTATAGAGCTTTTGAGCAATTTTTGCACGAGAAGAAACGGCAGAGACATGCAGAGACGTGGAAATCAAGTTTATCATTCCTCACTCAAATAGAAAATATGCCCAATTATATTCTGTGTCTTCTTTTATGCCTCTTCCATAAGTCTGACCTCCCATCCATGGACAAAGTACAAAATCGCCTTGCAGAGCAAACAGAAGAATAGACTCTGTCATGGGGACCGGGAATGTGGTTTATTAACCAGACCATGTGCCCACATAGAGAGGGGCAAAATACCAGATCGTATGGCAGGCTGATATAAAGCGAAAGGTACTTCCATTTGCTTGAAGACTTTCCATTAAGCATGGCAGGACCCGCTAAGAGGCAGCCCTATGGAGCTGAGTCCAAATGGTGGCACAAATCTGTTTAAGCGAACGTCGTCTAATAACTGCGGGGTTGGAACTTAGATGCATCTATGCGTCTGTACTGTCGAAGCTAAAGGCTTCATAATGCAGTTGCGACTTGATTTTACATTTCTACTGTATATAATGTACTTTCTATACTATAACACTGTATAGTCAACTAATTTTGGATGTATCTCATAGAAAATTGAAAACAGAGAACAGTAGTCACTCCAACTGAATGGTTAAGTCAAGACTGCGAGCATGTGAGTAATTACTCCCTAAACACTGAATATTTATTTGCCACGTCATCATCTTCCTGAAAGTAAGGCATTTGACCATTTAAGCGTCATCTTGCCTTAACATTAAATTCATTCAGTGAATGAGGCTTACTGGAATAGCATAGGTAAAAGATAAACGCGCCATTTAATGGTTATCGATTGTTGTGTACTACAGTGTCAGAGTCAAAGTTTTATTCAGAGAACGAAATAGTTTTTTTGCCTTTCGAAAAGTCAACGTGGCAATATGATAATAAGGTTATATATGAATTATGATATGAGTTACTCAGTATAACTAGGATATGACAGTGCAGCTATAGCGCTATAAGTGACTAATAGTGTATACCAATATAGAAATGCGTTTTTACACAGTTCACGAATTAGCCATTCGCTATTGCAGTAGTGCGTGAGCAAAGTGTAGCTGGTTTTTATGTAAAAATTTTATGTTATCACTCTTGTGGGTTCTATGGTTTTTGCTGGTGCCCCCAGCACGTATTTGTTTCAGTCAGTACTGCACTAGCAGTGTATTGGAGCTTTGGCTTGTTGAATTGACGCCTTATTTAGAAATCTGGATGCGAGCAGGCGTATGGTGATTTTTCTGGGCTTTAATGACCCGCATTAGTCATTCAGTACGACAGTAGTGCTTCAGACCAACTCCGGTTGAACAATCTGCACGCACGCGCTGTATGCAATAAATACCTGGCATATGTTTAATGGGTTTTGATTATATCATTATTGTTGAGATTAAGCAGAACTATTTCATAAAGTT